CAGGAGTTCAGTGTTATGATCAGGAGTTCAGTGTTATGATCAGGAGTTCAGTGTTATGATCAGGAGTTCAGTGTTATTATCAGGAGTTCAGTAATCTGACAGCTTGTGGATAATAACTGTCTTTGAGTTTTTTCATGTGTGATGGCAGACTCCTGCATCGTCTGCCTGAGGGAAGTAGATGGAAGAGTCCTTGTGCTGGGTGGGTGTAAACACATAAATGACTGTAACTCAGACGATTTTACAAATACTGAGCTATAAGTCAATGTGGTAGTAGCTGATAGTGCTTCTCAACTGACACTCTTATGATATCTTATGATATTGTATGAGTTTGTCAATAAATACTTTCAAGGTTTGACCAGAACAGCTGCAAAATCTTATTTTAAAACTCAGACATGAAAAGAAATGGGCAAAACGCATTTCTTAAAGAATGTAAATGCTACGCTTTGAATTTGTAACTATTTATGTATTTTCATAGTGTAGGTCTGTGGCTCAGTATTATTAGAGTAAGATACAAAAAGGTACTTGATCTCTTTCTAAAGAATTAAGTAACAGTCTTCCATTATACAACATCGTTTATTACTCGTCATAAATACATTTTAACATCACACCGACTTCAAAAGGAGTCAGTTCACTTTCTACCAAGATATGAGGAAACGTCTAAGCGTAAAACAGAAACTGTGTGTGTGTGTGTGTGTGTGTGTGTGTGGGGGGGGGGGTTATATTACAGACTATTCATTATATGTTTATTCAAGAAGTATAAAACTAAAGTTACAGTTACTGTACTCTGGACAGAGTGTGTCACATCTAACGTTTTGTTCCTTCTTGCTCCAGGCTTGTTGCATTCCCCACACTGTTCCCCAGGTACAGTGTACTTTACAGCCTCAGTCTGAAGGTGAGGGGTGGGGGTGGGGGTGGGGGGGGTTAGAGGAGGCAGATACTTAAAGCCCTCAGTGTGAAAGACACTCTACACCTCGCTGCATCATGGCTACATCTGCCCTCCTGCTTCTGGCATTCTTTACTGGACTCTGTGCTCCATGGTCAGGTAAATACAAACTGCACAAGAAGTCGTGCACATTTAATTAGTGCACTGATTGATTTGGTGAGCAGAGGAAGTTTGATGTGATGACATCAGAGGGATCTAGTAACTAAATATCCAGACAGCTGTTGTTCCAGGTCTTAGTGAAGCACTTGGCTACATTTTCCCTCGTACAGAGACTTTACCTGCAGCCTGAAGAGTTGAAACTTTCACCAGCGTCATGTGACATCTGACGTTTACTGATGTGCACGGTTCAGTTTACAAGGTCTCTGTTAGAACAAAAAGTACAGATTTTTGTCCGTGTGAAAAATGAATACAGAAGGGCTTCATTTGTTAAAAAAAAAAAGCATAAATAAACAAACTGAAGGTTTTAAAGTCTTTTTGTTTCCTGTTAGCTTTTTGATAACTTTTAAACTGCGAGTTCATGCGACTAATGCATTTGTTTTCTGTCACATTTAGAACATGTGCAAAAGAGTGGACTTGCAACAGACGAATCTAAAATGGTACTAACAATTATTAAAATACTTACATATTCATTCTTTAAAAGTTTAGGGCATTTTTTGTTTGTTGCCAATAACAGTTTTTTGTGTTTTTTACAGACAGAGGGTTACATGTCCATGCTTTGCCCGCCAGTACCTCCCCTATCGCTCGCCTCAGGTAATGCACAGTGCACTCATCAATGTGCACGCTAAACTGATGTCAATCTGAGGGATTATTAAGTTTAAGCATCATCATTCATCCTGCTGTTGTCCGGTGATAAATTAAATTATTTAAACGTTTGATTTGTCGTTTCAGCATCCGTTCACACACTGACGCCTGCTCATATTGGAGGACTTTACACACTGGGACTGCCTCCCTCACACAGGTACACAAAATAACAAGCAAAAACACACATGCTTGAATATTTACAGAGTAAAGCAATATTTAAAGCACATATAACAAATGTTGAACACGTTTCAGTTTTTTATGTGGCTTTTGTATTGTTAGGAATGAAGCATCATGGGTTGTCAGCAGACTAGCAGGTAAAATAAACCCTCACAATTATTCAGTAAATTGTATATTTATTGTTAAAACTCAATTTTGATGTGAAAAATCGTACAAACTACTGGGATGCACGATACTGGATTTTTGGCCGATATCTGATATGCCGATATGTTAACAATTTTTTGGCCGATAACCGATACCAATATTTTTTTCCTAGACCTACTTACAGAGACTACACAGTTTTCTCTGCTGTGAAATTAAAACACTACATTATTCTGCACGGTTTGTGTCAGTTTGGCCTGATACCAAATGCAGATGACAAAAAGGGGGATGAAAATGATGAAACACTTCAACATGGATTAAGATTAATGTCAAATTTAGTCATGACATTTAATCTCTCTTAACACAATGACAACACTTGAACAGTGCAAATTTGTAAATTTTCACAAATCTAAACTCAACCTGTTCACAAGCGACAAGTGAAAAGCACATAAGTAGTAGAGCATTAATACTTGACAGTTTCTTAAATTTAAAATTAACTTAAAACAGAAGCCCAATACAAGTTTATACAATCTTAATGATCAACTCAAATCTCCTTCTCACTGGGTTGTAATACAAAAACAGCACCTGTTCTATCTATCTATCTATCTATCTATCTATCTATCTATCTATCTATCTATCTATCTATCTATCTATCTATCTATCTATCTATCTATCTATCTAT